TCGCAGGTGTTTATGGATGGCTGCCAAGTAAAAATCAAATAAACAAACAATCCTCCCCCAAACCAAACCAATTCTACCTCCTGCTCCCAAACCACAGACATCATATCCATCCTTCACTAACAAAAAAAAGGACTGTGTGAAGCATGTGGAGTCACAATGAGGCATGGTTTTTATCTCCACAGTCATGAAACTGAATTTTTTTAAACATTATTCCTTGAGTGGCAGACTTTCTTAATTTACGAGAACGAACTGAAGCCAGCAGAAAAGCTCATACTGGCTTTAGTGATTTGGATCAGGATGATAAAGGACATTCTTTTAATGGAGGATCCTAATTCTTCTTTGTTTCCAGTAAGAGCCAAATTTTCATCTCAGTGAAGTCTACGTAAATCCCCAGTTCATGGGCATTGCTTAGAATCTGTGCTGGTAAAAATGAAATTGGAACCTATTGCCCCCAACTTGCACACCCTCTTCTCCATTATGTTAAAAACCACTCTCTTTTATGGCTTGTTTCTTGATGTAATGGGAAGGCTGTCATCTGCTCCCTTCCACTGGAGGGAATTAGCATTGAAAAGTCATTTTTAGAAGCATCAGTAAGCATCAGCAAGCAAGGTTTCAGCTAGCATAATTTCAGATTTCTAGTGCTGAAAGGTTTTGTGTATCATGTTTATCTGCGTAGCCAAGTCCTTTGTCACAGGTACTCTCCACGATTCTAAATCAAGATATATGACTTCCTTGATTTATTATGAAATATACGCATTTTCTTCATTTGGAAATTGTTACTATATCCAGAAATTCTGAATTTTTAGAGCTGCATCTTGGATAAAATAATGAATGAATTTGCTGAGGCAGAATATAATTGATTGTGCTTGGCCTGCTAGGTAATGATATAATATAGTGTGACTCGACCTGCTGGTGCAGAACACAATCAGTATGCCTGCTCTAGTTGGTGGAAAACATAAAATAAACTACTTAGATTATTTAGTGAGAACCCAATTTGTTTAGAATGACTAAAGCACAACAAACAGCTTGCAAATGAAAAGTATGAACTTTAAAAACTCACATAAAAATAAAGCTGAGGCTGAGACTAAAATGTGAAAAAGAACACATCCTAAGCTAAAAAATAACTTAAGTTACACAAAAGCTCCAACCCCGTACACCCAGAGAGCTAGCCCTGAATTTCCCAGCACCACTGGTGTCAGTGTATCCATGACAAAGAACAGCTATCGCAGTCTCTGACAGGGCAAGGACAGTCCTGTTACTCATAACACTGAATTTCCTCCACACTATGCCTAGACATCCCTCTACACAGCATATCTCACATTTGTATCGCATCTTCCTGTTTGGTTCCCAAGCTGTTTACCATCATGTAAACTTGTTACCAACCTGTTAAGTTTTAGGACTCTGATGGCCTTTGTTTTTCAAAGCAGATAATTTAATTGTGCTTAAGAAGAAGGTGAAATGAGAACAGATAGTCAGGAAAGTTTTGAATATCAAAATTGCATAAAATATATAAATACGGTGAGAATTTAAAAAAAGGATTGAAGATATGGAGTTGTATACTTAAATGCTATGGCAGTGGACAATATTCAGCCACCAAAGAGGCCACGCACCTTTCCCCATCCACTGGAATATTTGGAATCAATTATTGATTACAGAAGAACTGAAAAGAGAGCTTTTATTTGGGGGATGCAGATAATTTTAAGAATGATGCACTACAATCCAGTCATCTATCTCAAATTGAAAGTCATAAATCATTACATTTTAATACAACAACACCCTGAACAATTAACATCTTGAATTACGAGTGTATCACCAGAGTTGTGTCAAGTTAACACACTGTATTTCTAGCTTCCACAGGCCTGGGAACTGTTCAATGCGCTATAAAGATATCTGCATAGGCAGTAAGAATATAAATGCAGCTGTTTATAAACTCACTGTCCCACATGTCATGATGTTGCAGGTCTGTATTATAAAAAAAAGAATGCTAATGAGTCAAAACACTTCAAACGCAATCTTCCCCTCAGTTTGGTTTCAGAGGCTCTAAAGCCCAGTTAAACTCATTTCTTCCATTTTCCATGGATTTTCACAGATTTACTGCTATGGGTGCAATAAACCTGTCTGGTGATAAAATTAGGAGCACAGGGAAAAAATCATAACTGTTTCTTGAAAGCCTCATAAAATTATATTCTGCACGGGGCACTAAACCGCTCAGCATAAAACCATTTGCTTCCCCGTGAAGTGGGGCTTCGCCCATTGGCCAGCGCAGCAATAAGCAGAAGCAGATGTGTATCCGAAGGAGATGTACAGCTGGGCTGGGAACGAAACAGCTTTTTATAAGCTAGAAAACAAGCACAGAGTACGCAGTCTTAGGAGGGGAATTAATTTAGATCATTTAATGTTAACATATTAGACTTCATTATTGAGTGCAAGTTGCACATTTCACAGTTCTACTTCCTCATATAAAACGACGCCTGATAGTAAACCAGAAAGAAAAGGCGGAGGTGATCTGACTAAGGATAAAAACATGGTAACTAAAGAAGTAACCAGATAATTAAGTGGCCTTTTAAATCTAGTTGTTCCCTGAATATAGCCTCTCTTTTCAAATTTCCTCTGCAATGTAAGTTTGAAGGGCACGAAAGGAGACGCTGACAGCTCAGGAAGTTGATACTACATTTCAGGTAAAGGCCCTTCCACAAGGTCCTGGCAAAGGTTTTCTCCTTATCAGCACTTCGGCTGGGAAGAACAAAGAAAAGACACCCATGAGTTACATGGATTGCAGGATGAGTGCAAACCACAAAGGAAAAGCGGTGACGAAAAAAGTAAATACAGTCTTACTATTTAGGAGGTAACATGTTTCCTGAAAAGATGGAGAGACAAGAGCATTGCACCAGGTGCTGGAGGGATTTGTCCTGCTTCTCGAGTTGAAGGGACTATCTCAGGAAGGATGAAATCCAACCAGATGAGGTGCAAAGAAGGACAGAGAGCTGCTCGGGGGAACAGGTAAGAGTGTGGCTTGCTCTGACTAGTGAACTAGGGGCTGAGAGAGGATATGATTGCTCTCTGTTGATGTACCAACAGAGTAAAATGCCAAGGAGACAGCGGCACTCTTCATGCTAAGGGATACTCTCAGCAGAACAAGTGGATCAAAACCAGCCACAAGTAAATTTATGCTGGAAACGAGAAGATTTCTAACTGCTGGAGCAGTGATGTTCTGAAACAGTATCCCAAGGAGAGCAGTGGAGGTAAAAAACCTACATAGGCTGAAGTAAGAGTTTGATAAGAGTTTCTGAAGAAGATTGCACGATACAGTTAACCACAGGCGAATGAGATTTTCAAACAGTTTTCTAATCAGATGAGTAAGGTGCAGAGGGGACCACCAGCTACTTCAGAGGTGGAACTCAACCAGTTTATCAGGACAGATGATGAGACCTTGCTTTCGACCAGAAAACCTTCCAGTTCTGAGCCTTCTCCTCCTGAGAACTTTTTCAGTATGGGTCTTAAAAGGAGGCCAAGGTGCCACTGTGGTCGAGAGCTGACATGCATATACAGTAGAAAGACAGGGGGTCGATGAGGTTGAAAGTTCTGCCTTCCTGGCTCTGCCAATGTACCCAACAATTAGACACAGGGAAAAACTGAAACCTTTTATGCACCTTCTGCCTTTCAAGTGCCTGAAGTTTAAGGTTTGCATTTGCAAAACTGCCTTTTTTGTCAGGTTTGAGCAATGCTGAACACAAAGCCATCCAACCCCTGCTGCCTTTTGAGTCTCTACCTCTAACAGAGTTTGATTTTGCTAAAACACCACCACCACTGTTTTAAGAATTGAATTTGTCTGTCTTTTCTTGTGTAACATAGGCATTTTTCTTAGAAACAGTGGACTAACATCACTAAATACATTTTGCTATGGGTACCAAATAATATTATTAACAGGGGATAACAATTTTCAGCTAATACCTAATGTCAAACACTTTGGATTTGAAGTGTGGGGCAGAAAGAACTAGGAACCAAATCACCATGAGACAGACCTGTGAAGCAGCAGACAACCATTACACTGTGTTCTCAGTAAAATTTTTGTTTTATACTTGCTTTTCTTCTGTCTGCAAAATTCTTAAAGCCATAAAAACAACATAAAAGGCAATAGCGAAAACCAATTTTATGTTGGACTCTGAAGTTTTGAACTTTCACTGTCTTGTTCAGATTCATTCAGGTACCATTAGTATCACAAAATCTGTTTAGGGTTGGCTAGCTACTCAGTACTTTAAGGCTTTCATTTGCCTAACACTTCTCTGGGCCACCATTTTAGTTATCAAGTAACCTCCCTCTTATGAATAAATGATGGTACAAAGCAATCGCCTACAGCACTCTGATGCCACTTTCATATGATGGACACTGGGAGGGATACTTGTGAATAATCAAGTGCCATTCCTTGCAATTGGAGACCAAATGTGTGCCTGTACAACACAGTGTTGTAAATATTAGAGGACCTGAGAGATAAAAGTTTAATTTCAGCACAAATCTGCTGCACATTTTGATGTTTACACTAACAGGCAAGCCATTGGTTTGGCTGACAAGAAAGGTGTAATTCATGGACAATTACGAGTAACAAATTCAGAATTAGCATGAATGAAACAACCTTGTTACTAGGCAACAAATTTCTATGGGATTTTTGGAAGAGTCCTTCCCTTCACGCTGCCACCCTGGGTGTGGTCACAGCAGTTGAAAGTTACCTCTGATAAATAAAATGAAATTAATGATACAGTTGCTGATGAACAGGTACTCAAATCTTAAAACTTGTAACAAGACGACCAAATGAGCTCTCTTTAACAACTGGAAATCATAAAATAAAACTGGTTTTGGTGTGGGAAGCCTGAAGTATAAAAAAATCTGCACTTTTACTGTGTAGATCTAGCAAAGCTTGGAGGCTTCTTTTGTTTCATTGTTCTGCACTGGCATTTCTTCAGGCTTACAGCTATTACCCAAATACATCTCTCATTTCCACATACCTTGTAGTGAAAGAGGAATAATCCACAGAAGAGGCTGTACAGGTCAGCTGTGAGTAGGGAGAGGTTGACGGCAGTAGCACTGGTTTTCTTTATGACCACTGGCATAAAGCTGTAGAGGCCAAACATGCAGGCACTAAAGCCAACATACAACAAGCCTGCAGAAGAGAAACAAGAAGCAAAGTGACCTTCCATAGCCTGCAGAAATGACTTGTGCTGGGAGGAAGAAGACTGTGTTTTTAGAAAAGGATGAAGAACGCTTTTCAGAAAAACATGGATTCAAATTATTAAGATACACACACATATATATATAAACTAAGAGCATCATTCTAAATATATATGAAAACCAGTGAAAACCATACCTACAGCAGTGGACACAAGGTCTGCTCACTGTGGTCCCCATAATATCAGTGCTGTTTTAAACTGGTGTCTTACACTACTAGTGAATACCTCATGTCCGACATAAATTTGATGAAATGATGCATTTGGACACATCAGCTCTAGTCTCTTAAGGAGCTGAATGTCCCCAACACCAACTGAGTTCAGCTGAGTTGGATGGAGCACACAATATTTTCTGGGAACGGACCCAATACCCAAAAGTATTTGCAGAGGAGTTAATGAGCCAATGGCTGAATGCATGAGGACAGCACTCAAATGACAGAGGTCCTAGTCCTATTCTGCCACCAAACCTGATAAATCACTTCACAGTTTTGTGCTTCTGTTCCTCTACCACTTTTTGTCTGCCTTCCTTAATAAACCTTTCTGGAGCTGAGACTGTTTCTTGCTACATGTTTACAGAGTGCCTCACACAAATTAGATTGTTAGACACTAATATAATAGAAATACATTACAGTAAAAATCTAATTTCATTAAAAACTTAAATAACTTACTGGGAAAGAATTCATTGCTTCAGTTATTACTTGATAAATCCCAAGGCAAATTAATCAATATGAAGTTAAAAAACCAGCAAACACTTCACTCATCTGCACTCATGCAAATGATATTTCTTAGGCTGTTGTATGCTGCAGAATTCCCAGCTGCTATGTGCATGAGCCTAAATTTAGACTCACGCCAGCTCTTCAGAGTATGTTGTTACTGACTAAAAGTTGCAGAAAATCTGATTGCCAAAGTCCTGAAAGGAATTAGAAGGGGGGGGGGGGGGGGAAGCCCATAAAATTTGTATCTGCTTGTGAATCCACTTAGTTAAAAACTCTTTCGAAAAGCTATCTAAAGGACAAATCAGCCGTGATAGTTTGAGTCCCTTAGAAGCATCTGAACTGAAGTGTACACCTCATCCGAAAAAAATACAGCAGTCACAAAATGTCAGTGTCTGTGTATCAATTGTTATGGCATGATAACAAATTTGAATTTATATTCAGAATATGGATAATCATGGTAAGAACTGCTTTTAATAACAGGTAGAAAATTTTTAAGGTGTGCATTGTATATGGGTAACAACAGAATCAGTCTTAGGCAGCGCTTGAAAGAGTTGCTTTATGCAAACTCTGCAACTCTTCTGTAGCAGGTAAATGATTACATTAAATGGAGTGTAGTTTTCATCAATGAGAAATTGTTTGCGTACATGAGCTTTAAGACAGCTTTTCTTCCAGGCTTAAATCAAGAACAGGTCAGGCGCAAAAGCCATTCCGGACCCGAAGTCAGCATTCTCAAAGTGCAGTCTGCAAACCACCAGCTGATCCACCGAACCCCTGCTAGTCAGTCTAGATTTAATACACATATTCAGGTGCTTTGCTGGGTTATGCTCTCAACTAACAGTATAATTTTATGGTACTGCCCTGGTGTTCATACTCTTTGGCAGCCAACTACATGCACTTCACAGGCTGCTTTTCCAAAGGGCATTTCAGTTCCAGTAAAAAATTGCTTAAACTGTAGCTGTCCTGTCAGAGGTGAATGTGAAGTGGCATTTCATTTACATCTTAAAAATACATGTAATACCCTCCAGCTGGATGGCATTAAGTGGTGACAATAAGCAAACAGGACATAACATCATATGATTTTCAGATATTGCTTCTTAGAGGGCCAGTTTTCAGACTAAAAATATGTTTTAAATCAAAGGCTTGGAGCCTCAGCTTCCTTGGGTACCCCTGCAGCACTAATGGCAGCCTTGAGAATCACCACTAGTGCTGCAGTCCCAGGTAATGGGACTTGGGACCTGCGTCTAACCAGGCACTGAATCACCAGCACCCATTGCCTGTGGCAGGCACTGGAAGGAAGCAACTGGGTAAGTTAGGAGGTGCTTTTGTAATGATCTGCTGATCAGCTGGTCTGTGTTAAACCTTGAGAAGCTCATCATTCATAACTGCTTTCAGATGTGTTGGCATTGTCCTGAACCGAAGGCTTAATCTGCATGAAGGCAGCTGTGGGTGGGATTCTTTACACCCAGCTCTGGACACATACTGAGGGTTGGTGGTCAATGAAGAGATTGGGAGATTTTAGGGTGCAGATTGTCCAACGTCTTTTACACACCAGCTTTAGCATAGTATGATTCCTGTCATGCCTGTTTATTCTTGCTGATGATAAAGGGGGTCTGTTTAACTACATCAGATGTCCACATCCCAGATATCTAAAGTTGGTGGAAGGAATCCCATCTTGTCTGTCAGTGCTCACCCTGATGGGTAAGGTCACCAGTTTTGCCTGTTTGGGTGTGAAAGCCTCGTAAGTGTCTGAACTGGGCGCTTAGGATCATAGGATCGTGGGGTGATTCAGGCTGGAAGGGAGCTCAGAAGTCTCTAGTTCAAACCCTGCTCAAACCAGGCTCAGCTGTGAGATCAGACCAAGTTGCTCAGGACTTTGTCCAGCCTGGTCTTGAAACCTCTGAGGATGGAGGCCGCACAACCTCTCTAGGCAACCTGCTCCACTGCCTGCCTGTCCTTGGTGTGAAGAAGATTCTCCTTTTATCCAGTCTGAATCTCTCATTTCAGCTTCCGCCTGTTGTCCCTCATCCTCCTGCCATGCACCGCTGTGAAGACCTTGGCTCTGTCCTTTTGATAACCTCCTTGTAGGTAACTCCTCGAAGCCTTCTCTTCTGCAAGCTGAACAAGCCCCAACCCCTCAGTATCTCCCCACTTGTCTTAAGACTGGGCATCTTCACACAGATGGGCAGGGACTGCTCTAAAGTAGCCCAAGTACCACCAAGACTAACATGCCTTGGGAACTTCTGTTTTAGCTCCTGAGCATGCTAGTTGAATGTTGCATGTTTTATCCTTTGTGTTTTTACTCCAAAACCTATCGTTTCATTGGGATGAAATGGAATCAGTTTTGATTTTTCATGCAGCCTGGTCTTGAAACCTCTGAGGATGGAGGCCGCACAACCTCTCTAGGCAACCTGCTCCACTGCCTGCCTGTCCTTGGTGTGAAGAAGATTCTCCTTTTATCCAGTCTGAATCTCTCATTTCAGCTTCCGCCTGTTGTCCCTCATCCTCCTGCCATGCACCGCTGTGAAGACCTTGGCTCTGTCCTTTTGATAACCTCCTTGTAGGTAACTCCTCGAAGCCTTCTCTTCTGCAAGCTGAACAAGCCCCAACCCCTCAGTATCTCCCCACTTGTCTTAAGACTGGGCATCTTCACACAGATGGGCAGGATAGGTCCCCAGGGACTGCTCTAAAGTAGCCCAAGTACCACCAAGACTAACATGCCTTGGGAACTTCTGTTTTAGCTCCTGAGCATGCTAGTTGAATGTTGCATGTTTTATCCTTTGTGTTTTTACTCCAAAACCTATCGTTTCATTGGGATGAAATGGAATCAGTTTTGATTTTTCATGCTGTTTTCTTGGAATAAAGACCATTCAGAAATACTCAAACCCCCTGTAGCACAGAACACTTCCTTGGAGATTCAAACTAGCTTTTCTCTTAAATAAAACTGATGTTAATTCATTTGTTATTATTTCATGTATCACTCTACAAAATGTGTCATGGTCTCATATGAAACCACTCAGTCAGAACAGTATAATCATTCTCCTTTCAGTCAGGTTGTCAGCAAGTATTAATACTTAAACCTTCAAGGATTCAAACAGAGCTACACTGATTTATACTAAGTATGAAGATGATGCTATTTATCAGGGGAATTTCCAAAATTAAAACCAGGAGGGCAACAGCCTGTTTTAAACATGACAGACATAACAGATTGGCTTTAGATCTTTATATTCCAAAATCATTTGCATTTTACATCAGTTGAAAGGTAGCTCATCCATTCTTAATAGCACAATTATGGCAGATGGCAACAGGCCACCTTGAGTTATTTATTAGGTTGCCTGCTGTGGCTTTATCACTACCATTCAGAAGGCTGATGATTTAACTCTGCTGGACTGCAGGTTTGAGTCTGTCGCAGTGGATAACTATTCAGGACAAGGCTGTGAACACCCTGACATAGATTTGTCAATCACTACTTGACAACCTTGTATCACTGCCAATGCAATGGAAAGCACACCAAGTGCAGTGGAAGCCAGGGAAGAACACAAAACTACACATAATTGTCACCATTTAATCCATGTTCAACTGCTCCACATTTCCAATTATTGCTCTAACAAAACAAGTACATATCTTTGATGCTTTTGCTAAGATGATCTCCTCCTTATGAAGTGTAAGGACTCTTCAGAATTAGTAACTAACTTTCAATGACATTTTAATGGCATCACAGACCAAGTAAGACTTTATTTTAATAGCACATTTCACTGATACTGAGTTACAACGGAACTCCCATGGAAGTAAATATGACATTTACACGGATAGTAGTAAATGGTCAATCACTATGACCATTGCTAGTTCCATCAGTACCAGATTAATTATGTCCCTGAGTTCCTTATCATGAAGTATAAACAAACACTGATGCAATTATGCTAATTATCTCAGATTAAAGAAGGCTAATACACTTATAGTACACAGTTGAGTGTGTTTCTCCATAGACACTTTAAATTGATTTGTCATTTAGTTTTACAGCTCAACCATCAAATCTCCAAGACTTCTAGGTGCGGTGTTTTGTGAAAGGTGCATTGTTTTTAAGGTTTATGACCATGAGAGGAAATTGTGAACTAAATTAAAGAAAACAACAGTGTATTCTGTAACTTGTATCCTCTGTCCTCAGGGACTCCCCACATAATCAGTTGCCTTTGCACACTTCTGAGCTGTCACTTTGATGTTCATTCTGAAACTAGGTAACAAGCTACTGTCAATGGATTGCCAAAGCTTGAATCCCCTGCTAAGTATATCAGCTCTATACTATTAGTATTCTTTTATTTTTCTATTGTCATAAATAGTAAAAGAGTGATTATAGGGACTCCTCTAAATGTTGATTTGCTTTTAAAGCAAATAATTTGTTGGGCTAATTAGAAGGGAGTCCTAGATCATAAACTCAGCTTCCAAACTGAAATGGGAACATGCAATCCACTGCATAGCAAAACACCGTAAGAGCTTCATTGTGCACGATGCTACCTAAACTTGTCTAAAAGACACATCTGCTATATTCCACCAAGACTACTTGGAAAGCAATTAACCATTTGCATACAGAAATGCTCCCCTTGGAAATGAGTCTATGGGGCTAATATGCACCGCAAGTACTTTTACAGTTTTTTGTTAGGTTCCATTTTCTTCCTTTGGCATTCATTGAAAAGGCTTGGCTCTTAATGACTACCTCATTTATTTGTCCCAGTGTTGCACTGAATCTTAGAACTGGAACCCCATTATTGTTTTACTTCACGGCTGTCTGAATAATTATCTTATGGCATTCATATGCTTAACCTAGTGGTGCAAGGAAGGCATAATACGGCAATGGGAGGACAGATGATTTAAGAAAGGTTATGAGGCATGTGGTTCAACCTTTGGCAGTAACTGGCGGAAAAGTCACAAACATTGGCCCCTGTGAAACTTTCTGCCTGCCTCCCCAAACACTGGTTGTCTCCACGCCTCCTTCAGCAACTATCTTCAATGAGGTAAAGTGTTTTCTTACCTATTTGCCAATCCCAGGGAACTTTCAACAGCTCTTTGTGTTCCATGATTGCACTGTAAGAGAAGAGAAGGCAAAGTTTGATGGAAGAGAACAGAAGTTAAATTACTTCCACTCATTCAATTCAAATGCTGGACAAAACAACATAAATAACCTTATAACAAAAAATCTCTGCAGGAACCAAATGCAATCAGACATTGCTAATCCACTCCGGCATTATCCCTGTGCCCGTGTATTTGAAAGATCTTCAGGGCAGTAATGAGACGTGTTAGCATACAATTTGTACTGGTTTATTTCCAGCTCTCTATATACCTGCCCAAAGTGCCCATCCCCATATGTGTTCAATCCTCTTGTACTCTTCTGACTTAATATTCTGAAAGCTTTTGAACTTTAATGATTAATAATGTATCTATCTGAGTTATTCACCCTTCAGAGCGGCTCTGCAGTGTCAAATAAATAGATTTCACAGGCTAGCTTTGGGGAGAGTACTCTGATTTGTTACACACTGAGAGAGATCAAATAGTCACAAGAATGAAAGTCAGGAAACAAAGCAAAGGATGGGCCATGCTGCAAAAGTCCACTTTCAACATCTTGTAAGTCTTGCATTGTACATTAACATCAAAATGCCAGATCCAGAAAATTCTAAGGTGGCAACAAGTCAGCTCTTCTCAATCCAGGCAAATAGACCCTTGGAGATTAGGTATCTCACAAGCTAGGTCTTCACTGAGCCAACCGCTTTCTCTGATCTGTGATTTGCAGATAACTCCTGCTGTGCAGAACTCTGCATGCTAGTCTGGACAATATTTTAAACAAGTATAAAACATGGAATTATACAGATCGAAAAACGAAGTACCTAGTACAAAAGGGGGTATATGGAAGACCAAGTCTAATAGTAAAACTGCAGGAACTCAGTGCCTTCCAGATTAATCTGGTCCAGAGAGTCACACCCTGGATATTCTCATTTTCTTGCTGCTGATGTGTGGCAAATCTAATACTGTGTACAGAATAATAAGATTATTTTGTCTGCAAAATAACTAAATTGTAAGTGTCTTTGCATGCATAAGGCATATGTTTCTTTTATCAGCAATTCCTGAATAATATCATGAAAACAAACTGTAATGTCTCTTGTTCTGGCAAACAAATTTTGATATGACTTAAATGTAGGAACAATGCTTTCATACTATTGCCTATCTGATACAAAAGAAGTATAAAACAATATGCTATGGTCTGTGATTCATTATGATCTGTGAAACAAAGAGGGGTGAGAGCAACTTTGCCAGAAGTTGCCATTTAGTAGTGCCAGATTCACTGAAGAATTGGAACCACAATGGTCTTTGAAAGGTTGCAGTGATTGGAGGAGGTCCCTGATGACTGAAAAGAGACAAATGCAACATCCAGTTTCAAGAAGAGAAAACACTATAACCTGGCCAGCCTTATGCTAACCTTTGGGAAGATTATGGAGCAAATCTTCCCAGAAGCCATTTGCAGGAAATGAAGAAGAGATGACTGGAAACAGCATAGACTTCTCAAGAGCAAACCATACCTGACCAAACTGACTGCCTTCTATGATGAGATGATTAGCTCAGTAAATAAAGGAGAGGGAATGGATGAGCGGATGAGGTGTAACCTACCTTGACTTTAGCAAAGCTTCCAAAATGATTTCTCGAAAGATCCTTAGAGACTCAGGAGGTATGGACTGGATGGGTGGACTACCCACAATGTAGTCTGAAGAAAAGGGCCAAGAGAAACCTTGTGAAGTTCAAGAAAAGCAAATATGAACTCCTGCACCTTCGGTGGAATAACCCTATGCAATAGTACAGGCTGGAAGCTGACTGGATAGAAAGCTGCTTTTTAGAAATAACCCTTGGAGCCCTAGCGGACATCAACCTGAACATGAGTCAGCAATGTGTCCTTGGAGCAGAGAAGGCCAAGAGCATCCTGGGCTGTGTTAGAAAGAGTTTGGCCAGCAAGTTGAAGGATGTGATTTGTGAGACAGCAGCTGGAGTACTGTATCCAATTTTGGGCTGCCCAGAATAAGACAGACATTGACAAACCGGAGGGAGTACAGTGGTGCTCTGTCACAACAGTCAGGCAGATGGAGCACATGATGTAAGAGGAGATGCTGAAACAGCAGGGTTTTTTTAGTGCGAAGAAGAAAAGGCTAACCCAGGGTGAAGGAGGACGGGACAATAAATTTGCTGTCTTAACTACCTAATGGGTAAGTTACAGAAAAGATAGAGTCAGACTTTTCTTGGAGGTGCACAACAAAAGGATGAATGACAATGGACACAAGTTGCAACAAGGGAAACTCTGATTAGATACAACGAAAAAAAATATTGGTCAAACACTGGAACAGGTTGCCCAGCAAGACTGGCATTTCAATTCCTGGAGATGTTAAGAAGTTAACTGTACAAGTTCCTGAGCAACCTGATGTAACTTCGATGTTAGCTTTGAGTTGCTTTGAGTAGGGGCTTGAACCAGATGACCTTCAGGGGTCCATTACAAAGTAGGTTATTCTATGATTATGTGATTCCATCAGACAGCGTTATCTCCATTTGCTGGATAGTTGCTATATCCCCAACTATTGTCAACTAATGTCTTCTCTTGTTTTGATATACAGCTCCTCCCTGCTTTAATCACATTCAACCCACTAAACTTCTCTTTCCACCATGCCCAGCTAGTTAGCCAACTCCTTCCTTTACTTCACTGTTTGCCCTGACACCTTAGCCCTTCATTTGCTGTCCAACAGGCGTTATCAAGGTTTATTTTACGATACAGTCTAATATTAAGCACTCTTGCTAAACTGTTCTGGAAAACAAAGTCCACTTGGAGACACAGCCCTGTACTAGAGCTGAAGCATGAACGAACATGAGTCACCCACACTTATGTAGATATTTGTACTTACACATGGAATAAAAGGCAAATACCACAGCTTTTTGCTACTATATTATTTTGAGATCAGTGCATGTCAATAAAGGGAACATTCACTTGTGGGCACTGTTTTGCCTTTCCTACATTCAGCATAGTCCTACACACTTTTTGTTATTTTTCCTTCTTCAGAATTGTACTGCTCCCTGTAAATCCTTTGAACATGAGACTTACACCTCAAGTGGTATTAGCACACATGTTCCCCATCCTCGATCACTTTGTGGATGCCAGCCAAACTTTGACCAGCACTGTGTCCAGCATGCTGGGAAATGGCCCTATTTTTAAGACATTCCTTCCCCAGGTTACTTCAGTTTATAGGACCTAAAGGTTCTATATTGCACCAAAGTGGCCAGTAGTGTTTCAAAGAAAGAGTCTGCAATTGTAACACGGAGAGCTGCCTTCTTTTTGAAGCAATTGGTATATTTAGTTAGATTCAACCTCTGTGAACTCTTAACTATGTGATGGCTGCTCTTCATTACAGATAAAGGTAAGAAAATGCTGAATTGCTTCATGGAACCAAGTAGCAGAAACATTATTGGCCTCTCTCGATATGCAAGCTTTTGTCACCTTGTTAAAAAAGTACATATATGAGCTAAGTGTGGTTGGGGCTCCACAAAGTGCCACAAAAGCACTAGCAGCAAAAAGCTGTGGAGGCCGGTGGAGAAAAACCTGCTGGCAAGAACTTTTGGGCCAAAGGTTGACTATAAAAACCTTAGGGCTTTCAGCATAGAAATGGTTTCTTACTGCTTCCTTCCAGTTGTGTTCTCTGTGTACAAAGATGCCTTGTTCCAGCAGCAGCTTCTTCTCCCCAGCAAAATAACTCACAGACCCTGAATTGTGACTAACTGCTTGGGTCAAGAGGGGTAATGGCACTATAATTAAATTCAGGAATATGAGACACGTACATTTACGCACACAGAGCAAGACAAGGGCACTGCTTTGATGTCCTCAGAATCAGTTAGCAACTACCTACCATGAACACTGTAGGTAACTAAAATGCTTTAGCCAAAGATACTAGGCATGTTTACGTGCTCTTGAATTCTGTATTTTTAAGAAAGGAACTGCTTGTGTGACAGCTGGTTAATAGAAATAATTTTAAGTCATGTGTCCAGATCCCACATAAATATAATCGGCTTTTTGGCTAAAGAAATAGAACTAATTAAGTGGGAGTTGATGGGTCATTGTTTTGATCAGTCTCTGTTCTTAGAAGTTAAGTCAGATGTGCAGGGAAGTAACCTGGTTTTGACTAATAATCAAAAGTTATTCTGTGTGACAAGCACCAGTGATGGATCTGCATAAAATGTGGCAATCTGGCATGGTGACTTTTACTACATTTTCATCAGTCACAGTATTACAACACTGGAAGCTACCTTCCAACTCTTAGGCTTGCAGGTGAGGTGCTCATTAGGTATATCATGTGGATATAGACAGAACTCAGTAGTTCCAGAAATCCATGTGACAATCTCCTGAGTACTAAATATTCTGAAGTGAAAATGCCAGTTTCTTAAAGGCTTTTTCATTGTTTTTGCCATATCATAATGTAGTTACACAGAACGAGCCAATCAGTAAAATACCTTCTGACTGGACGTGTTTTCTACCTGTTTAGAAACCTAAGTGTCTTTTTAAAAGTATGAAACAGAACCAGAGATAGTTGTAGATTTTGTTATTCACAGATCAGATCAACATATGAAGTATCCACTTGTCTTCAAGCAACAATGTGGTAAGATGTGTCTTCTACTCCTCCCTCCCCATGTGACTATTCAAGGACAGCAATCACAGAATCATAGAATCATAGAATGGTTTGGGTTGGAAGGGTCCTTAAAGATCATCTAGTTCCACTCCCCCTGCCGTGGGCAGGGATACATTCCACTAGGTCAGGTTGCTCAAAGCGCCATCCAACCTGGCCCTGAACGCTTCCGGGGAGGAGGCATCTACAACTTCTCTAAGCAACCTGTTCCAGTGTCTCACCACTCTCACAGCAAAGAAATTCTTCCTAATATCTAATCTAAATCTACCCCCTTTCAGTTTAAAAGCATTACCCCTCATCCTATCACTACGCTCCCTGATAAAGAGTTCCCATCTTTCCTGTAGGCCGCTTGAATTAGAGTACTTAGGTACAAATTTGTGTTATTATTCAAATCCACTGATCTGAAATATGAAAACAAATGCAAATTCCAGAATTGGAGGACACCTGCTCTCCACAGGAAATGGCTACCTTTGAAGAGAGGCTACCTCAATGGAGGCCACGGCTGCACTTATTTGAATGACCTTGGGGCTCAAACCTGCTCACTTACAGCTGAATTCCACTGAAGAAGGAACCAAAGAGTCCAATCATGCCCAGGAATTCCACTCGACTCAGATTTCGGACGATATACTCCTCACAAACGTTCGAGATGCCGTATAGCGTTGCTCCGCCCAGTACTAAGAGATCCCCTATCAGTTTATTTTCACCTAGGAATAAACAGGGGAAAAATCAGAATGTCTCAAAACAACCATCTTTTGTCTAGAACCATTGCAAGTTCTTCCCTATAGATTTCAATCCTCAGTCACTAAGTAGCCCATATCTGGGTTAATAAGCTGAACGCAAATGTTCTGTCATTTTAACAGTTTTCATTCAAGACCCCAGCAAAATCTAGCAGAGGTGAAGGGAGAGCATTATCCTTGCTTGTGGTTAAGAGAATCTGAAAGAATCTGAAAAAATTGTAAAAAAATATAGAAACCAAGTGACTAATCCTTTTTATTGTATTATTATTACTTTTTTTGCAGAATGTGACTCAGCTATATAGAGCAGCTTGCATCTCATCTTGAAATCTAACCAGTCTAAAACATGTCCAGTATTTAGATGTGAAACCAACTGAAAAATTCTGTGTACCTGTGAAATGAGTGAAGAAATCATTACAACCCCAATATTGACCTCATTCTCACATGAAGCTGTTTGACAGGAAAGAGGAGGAAGGATGGGGTGTAGACAGGGTGGTGATAACAACAGATTTTCAAAAGAGGTTCAATTAACATAGCAGGACCTAATGCAAGCAGTGAACACCAAGATGTATTTTCAGTACCTCCAGGTATATATAATTACTAAAACATTGTATTATCAAAGACTGTTTGAAATCTTTTTTAAGTCTTGGAGGCTTTTACTATTGGGGGGCAGGGAAGGCTGCAGGGAAATTTGATCAAGATCAAGTTCCAGCTTGAAAACTGAGGCCCTGGCTTTGCAAACTGATGCACGCGATTCCCTCTGCACATATGGTTTGTTAAATGATTTCTACAGCTTCACAAAGCTGTCAGACATTGCTGCAGAACCATATTCCGAAAGACTGGATATAATGGAATTTCCTTTGAAAAGGTTCAGTAGAAAAGCTTAAGTACTAGACTGTAATTTTTTTTGAAAGAAACCTTGTTTTCTTTTAAAATATCTCTTGATTTACTTTTTGAGTTCCTGCCTTTTTAAGTTTTATTATTATTGATTTGTAAAATATACACTGCAGTAAATAAAAATGGAAGCCAAACATTCTGATTGATTCAAAATAATCTTTTCAACATTTTTCTTTATGGAGTTCTTTTAAGCCTTCAGTTTTCATTCCAAACTACAGTTCTGAAATTTCCAGTGAGAAGACATTTACGAAAATAAGAACGGTCATAAGAGGACAGACCAAGGGTTCTTTTAACCAGTATCCTGTCTCCAATGTTGGCTATAAGCACCAGAAAAGTATAGGTTGTTTAGGGACAAATAGGAACAGGGCAAATGTTTAAAATACTCCCAGTAACACTCTCTTTGTCTCCAACATTTTTCAGCTCAGAGGAGATGTGGCTTCCGTGTATTTAGCAAACATTACTAGATTTCTCTTTCACGTACCCATCCAGTCTCTCACTGAATTTCTGTTTTGCATGTACCCTGACTGACAGCATGTTTATATTTCACCGTTTATCTTTTTAAGATTTCTTACTTATTTTCCTTTTAGCCTTCTTTTGCAATCAGCCATGGAAGATGCCTTTAATTTAAAATAAGCATCAGCACTTTACAAGACCTTTTCATATCCCTGATGCATTTGATGTTCCACAGTGACTCCAATCATCCGTCACTGAGCTCACTCATTTGGTATTTATTACAGCTACTCACTGACACTTCGGGGAAGTACTGCGAAAAAGCTTTTGACCTTAGAGCTTGGCTGTGCTGAACTGCTGAGACAAAAATGTCATCCTTTTGCATCTGCGAAACAAGGATGGCTCAGAGGCTGAGTGTTTTCATAGAGATGGGACGGCCCCAAGCACCACACTGTGATGACTCTCCCCAAAGCGCACTCATGCTCGGGGAGGGTGAGCTTCAATCTTCAGGGCTTTCCCGGAAGAGGAAGCCAAGATCTGGTGAGAGCATGGGTCTGCCTAGCCCAGGACCCTCCTCTGGCACCGGGCAGCACAGGGTGGCTGAGGAAAGCATGAAGAAATAGGTAAGCACGAGGATTTTTATCAGCCAGTTCTCAGCAGATTAGGGATTTTCTGAGATGGAAGTTATATTAGACCATCAAACTTAATAGATCCTGAGGGATTGTTCATTAACTTGTGTAAAGTCCATACAGTTTTGGCCTCTACAACACCCTGTGGCAGAAACTTAGCTAGTTTAAGCATGCACTATCAAAAATTACTTTGTGTTTTTAGCTTTTAAGGCCAATACCTCAAAATTATATTGGGCATCCCATAATTTTCTTATTGTGAGAAATATTTAAGAATCACTCTGTATTGACCCTGTCCATACCACTGAAGACTTCACGTACCTTTACCATATTCTGTCTCTTTCTTGCCTTTTCTGGGAGATGAAAAGGCCCAGTCTGCCTGCAATCTCTTCATCCTCAAGCCATTTTATGCCCTTGAACAGCTTTCTCACCTTTCTCCATTGCTTCTATACAAGCTTATTTTCTGGTCATTTCTTTGTGAGATGCAGTGACGAGAGTAATACACGGTACTCAAGAGGCTAGTGCATCAAAACTTTATATACTGGCATAAAAATGTTTTATACTATATTTTTGGTTTCTTTCCTAATAATTTCTAGCATCCTGCTTGTCAAATGTCTTTTCTTCTTTGCTTCCTCAAGAGGCTGACTTTGGAACTTTCCCCCAAGACTGACATATCCTAATAGACCTATTTTCATGGATGTAAAATCCACAGGCATCTACTGGTTTATTGCTAAGGAAATACGTATCAACTGACTAGAGACATTCTAAAGACTTCTAGGTTAACACAGTTGTACTTGACCAATTTAATGGCGTAGGTCATTCTTCTGAAGAAACATAAGGCATAGCTTGGCAAAACACGCTTTGCATTAATCATTGTTAGCATATTTAATGTTCTCTGGAAGCAGAAGTCATACAGTCCAGAGAGGAGTTAATGTTCTGGGGACTAGTTATAGCACTATAGTGTAAGAGAAATCATTTAAATATGAATTATGTTCTGACATGATTGCTTTTCACATTCTCACTAGGCCACTTTGCCACATTTTCACCTCAACACCCAGCATTAAATGGTGTTTCTGTTTGCTTTTGGCTGTAATTACTGATGATCATAATATCTAAAAATCAATCTCAATGTGTCCCATCTTAGACTAAACATACTCTCATATACTTATTAACAGGACTGAAGTGACTGGCTTTCAGAGACTGTGATAAGCTAAAGCTGTGAAGTGCTTTGAAAAATCTGGATGAAACACTTAGACCTCTGTGTCTTAGGCCCCTGTGTATTACAGGAGCACAAGTACCAAGGTACCTCAGGGGTATTAGTTCAGAAAAATGTTATTTTAAGGTACACTTGGCATGTAAGGTGATACAGCACAAAGTACTTGGTAGTAATCGCTTTTCCCATTGAGAAATGTGCAAAACATTTCAGGATACAATAAAAAGAGGTAAACTACCATATATTTATTGAAAGTTGAGAGCATGCCTGCACATTATACCTAATTCCTGCAGATGGTTTGGAAAACACCTGTTAATCTCTCAGTGATGCATTTTAAATTCATTTTCCCTTATTGTAAGAGTTGGCAGGCTAGATTGCTGGATGCAGTAGGTGCCTACCAGAGCCTTATGGTACTTCTAATACATAAATAGTATGGTCAACAGGGGCACACAGGTGTCAACAGATCTTGTCCCCTAAAATATAGGATAAACAGAGGAGTTTACAAAGGACTAATACAGCATCATTGCTTTTGGTGTATTCCTTTCTTTTGTTTGCCCAGTCCTAGGAAATATCCTATAAATGGTGTGGAACCCCTGAACGAAGTTTCAAGAATTTTTTTCTTTTGCTGCCAATATTTCTTTTTATTTGTAGATTTTTAATGTATAGTTTTACCCCTTGAGATAAATGAAACCAGCTGATCTATTTTATTCTGTTAAAGACAACATCATTAATAATATCATTTTGCCACTTAAAAAAACCCGCTGCAGTCTCTCTGTGTAGCAATAAGCATGGACACAGTTTTTCATGTGTAGGTCCGAATTAAAAGGCAATAATGCATGTTAACAGATTTTTCTGGACAAATTTACCTAACAGCTATACCCGTGCTTTAGTAATGAATATGGCAAATAACATCTAATTATTGTAGTTGGATGGCAAAGTGTCAGTGTTCTTCAACCTGTTCCTTGTCCGCTGAGGTCCATTGCTCCACACGCTCCTGCTGATCCACAACCCGCCTGCCCTAGCATATTACTCTCTAGATTACTGGGACACAGGATGTTTCCTCTGGAAGCCAGGGTTGAAATCCCAATCCCTCTGAAATCAGTCATTCCTCATGCAGCTTTGGCTGGCTGATTTCATAGTACAGAGTATATTCTTTCCTTTTTCGCTGGGGCAGGGCTATTTCTGGAGGCGACCAATGAACTAAAAGTATCCTTCTAGGATAAAGGACAGGTATAAAAGGGGGCAGGGAGATATGGTGAGTACTGTCACAAACTCCCTTGTTTTATTTAGTAGCATCCTGGCAAATGTAGTTCTTACAGCACTTGCATTTGTATTCAGAAAGCTGAGTCAAGAATTTTAAATCCCAGTGTATTATGCTCAGCTCACAATTCAGTGCTTTTAATTAAGAATGAAAACTGTGCCTAATTGACAATCTTTGAAAAGAATTTTCAGCCTTCCCACATCATTTGGGTTGGCACTAGAGAAATCAATGTGACAGAGGAAGTTGATCAATGAAATCTAACTCTGCCTAGTCTGCATTAACAGCTACACACACATTATTCATATGATGCCGCATATAAAAAAGAACATTTTACACACAAGAAGGTTCTTTTCAACAATGACGCAGGCAAATCCCAAACCTTTACTCTGAAACTGTGTGCATAACCCAATTGGTACAGTTAATATGTAGGTTCGGTGTCTTTTAGCATCTACCCAGCGACCCCACCTCCATACAAAAAAGGAGCAAGGTTGAGGAGAAGTAAGAGTACATAATGGATGTGAGAGGTGCTTATGATTCAAAGATGCAGCCAATTTGGAAAGGAAGTAACTGAGGTTTGCAGTCAAACAACTAAGCCAAAACAGAAGGAAACTACAAGTATTTAGCTTCTCCCCCTGGCCTGCACAGAGGATGATCTGGGTTGCAGACACAAGCCTGTTTGCAGCCATGCCGACTTCTAAGTGTTGACCCATTTTTGTTCTCTGTCCCTTCAGACAAAGAAGCAACTTTGAATGGTGCAGTGCTTTGGATCCATGAAGGCACAAGGTTTCTTGCCAATTTTCCCTTTTTTTCTTGTCCCAACCTGACATGTTCTGGTCAATGGCTTCTCTGAGCAGAAATTGGTCATACAACACATCCATCCTTACTCACCTGCTCCTTGCTGTCTCCCAACGAGGACATCTGCTCCTGCCATGCATCCCATGCCCAGAATGCAGACCACAATCCCAATGAAATGTACTGCCTTGTATCGTACCAGTAAGAAGAACCAGGAGAGCAGTATCACCACTGGGATGACAAAACAGTCTAGGAGCTGTCAAGAAAGAGAGGAAAAATCAACAAATCAACCTGCTAACACTTTGCCATAAAATACTAGGATAGATTCCAGCAGGGGGGAGCACTGTAATAGCACTTTCTACCAGACAGAAAGTGTATTCAAGTGGTTATGTCATCCATCAGCCAGAGGATAAGACTGTATTCTGTTCATGACTACTCTATGAGTTCAGGAAAGCTGAACAGGGTAACACCCAACAGTACTGCCTTGCTCTTGGATTCAGATGCATGTTTCATATCCATGGGAAGGAAACCTGGGCCAAAAGAAAGCCACACCACTCCATCTGGTCCTCACCTCCGGTGATTAACGGATAAAGACTGAGGGCACTCTTCCTACAGTCTAGACATATGCTTTAATTCAGTCATTTCAGGTCCAATTAGCAGGAGTGTTCATAACGCACAAGTTGACCAGATTTATTAAATCTGGCCATATAAATCAAGGGGTTTCTGCAAGCAGAATACTTATGAAAAATCTGCCCCCAGTGGGGACTGTTAACTCCTTGAAAATACAGTCCCATATGCCTCTGAAGGAAAAAAAAATGAAAAACCACCTTGCCTGCAGTGCAAGAAACTCAATCTTCTTGCCAATAGACCCTGGGTAAGAGCTTTCTCAAGGAAGTGTTATGAAACACAATCTTTAATTATTTTTTCAGAGACACCCAGCAATAAACGCAGAGAACCCGTGATAAAAAAAGAAATGCACCAAATGTTTGTGAGAGGACAATTTTCAAAGTAAAATGTATTTTAGAAACTATCAGTATGTCACCAGGAAACAAAAATCCTGGGTAAGAAAGATCCAAAGAAACCTGACTTTAATCCCACTTCCTAAAAGGATACAGACAATTAAGAGTCGCGATTCTGTGGACTAACAATGGGATTTAACAAATTGTGCAGGGTACACTACTGTTCAATGCCAATTGATACAGCAGGAGCTACAGCTATATGGTTGCATCTTCTTTCTAATGAAAATGTCTGGAACAACCAAAGGAGGAGACTGTGTCTGTCGTTCTGGAAAACTACTCCAGATGTTGTTACCTTGATTTTAGATAATGCAATTTGTTTTTTCTTCCCTTTGGGCCTATTACCTGCTACTTGCTCTCTCAGTGTGATTTACCACTAAGCACACTAAGTATTATCAAATAATGATCACATCCCTTTTAACCTCTTTGTCTGTCCATGCGTTATCTGAAAAGAAAAAGATTTTAGGATGATTTCAAGAATTTCAGTGCTTAGAAAACTATTCTTTACATGTGAGATACCTATGTAACAAATATTAAATTTGGGGGATCAGCAAAAATATAAAAGCCAATTTTTGGACTAAGGATAATTTCCCTGAAACTTTGTTTGAAAAACAAGAGTATGCAGTGGAAACCCATCCATTCCAAAGATTCCCCAGACACTGAGTGGCAAAAGCCTTCCAAAGAGGAATGG